AATGGTCCTCTACAGTAACTTCAGCCAATACAGCCAGAAAAGTAACTCCAACCTTACTTTTTCGGCTTATTACACAATTCAGCGCGCGAAAGTAAAAATTACGTGTTTGGTGAAAAAGCTGGCTGATAAGTCTGATAAGCCGAAAATAGAGTTCTCCAAACGGGCTCAAAATGTCGCAACAGATTTGTACATAAAGTGAATTTTCATGTCACCCAGAAGTATATATCATTTGAAAAACAATGTGCAGCACTATAAACAAAAACGTACACCCTTTTGCGGCATTTTCATTTCTGATGAGAACAATAATTCTCACTAGAACTAGATAAAACGTGGGTGGGTAATTTTTTAGTGTGACCATTGGAGGCCGAAATAGATGAGAATCATAAATTTGATCGATGGCAAGCACCCCTGGCGATGTGGTCTCATCTCAGGCCATCTCCAACAAGCACCATTTTGAACACCAAAATGGTGTATTTGGCAAAAAAATGCTCCAACAATGACACCAAACATTACACCATTACACCAAAATGGGGGAGGGAGGATGGCTTCACACCATATATGGCGTACACCATATATCACACCATCCAACTTTTTGGCTTTCTTTTCCTTTTAAATGTGACCTTCAAGTTTTAATTATTATAGTTTTGACCCATTTTTAAAACAACAAATTAGGATGTTTTACTTGGACTAAAATTGGTTTGGCTGCTCTCAGCTGGTCTGGTCTGATTTGATCTGGTCTGATCTGAAATGATGTGGTTTGGTCTGATTTCTTTGTATTTGTATAACTACTCAAGTGTGGTCTAATCGGGTCTTATCTGATCCCGAGACAAACTACAGTCCAAGTAAAAACATCCTTATAGAACAACAAATTAAAATCATTAATTTGATAGAAAAAAATATAATAAAATTTAAATCACTCAATATTATAAATAAAGTTTCAAATCCAAACAACATTATAACAGAATACAAATGGGATTTAAGTAGTACTTTATTAATGACGTAGTACATTAACGGAATTTGTGGGAACAATTCTCAAATTCCCATAACTAAACTAAGAATGTTTATTTAATCTATTTCTTTAAGTTTAAGTAGTACTTTATTAATGACGTATTAATTATTATAATATTATTGTAATATTTAATTTTATGTGGTTTTAGCTTGTATTTGTGAAATATTGATTATTGTATTTTAATTAGTGAAATGCGTGAAAATACATATTCAAATTATGTATTTTAGTTTGTATGTGTGAAATAATGTGTGAAATATCAAAATATTAAATGAGGGGCTAATATATAAATATATGATAGTTAGATACTTAAATAGAAGAATGGTAAAAAGTTAGTAAAAAAATAAAAAGAGAATTTTCCTTTTTGGTGATGAAAATGGTGTAAACTGTTGGAGATAAAATACTGTTTGATGTGATGTTTACACCATTTTGGTGTAAAAAATGGTGTTAACTGTTGGAGATGGTCTCATAAATGCTACACTATTATTGCAGTTATTACAATTTATATGTATGTGTCTCGTTGATAATTTTTTTTAAATCAATGTATTACTATACTTGTAACTCAAATATTACGTAGTACGAAGTATGTTATAACCAAGTCGTCATCGAATGGCACCACGAGATAGGGTAACCACATTTCTCTCAAATATTCCCTCCGAGTCCCACATTTAAATTTAAAGTGAATTATTTAGTCAAACTTTGTTAACTTTGACCATTAATATGTTAGTAAAAAAGCATATTATTTTGTATATTTTTTAAAAAATAATTACATTTGTATGACTAAAATAGAGATTTGTTAAAAAAATGTGACTAGTGTAGTAATGAAATCATAGTAACTTATGCTCAATTTTTAAATTTAAGTTACTATGACACTACATTGTAGTAACTAATAGACATATTTAAGTAATAAAGCTTTAATTTAATAATATTTTTTTTAACAATTCCATATTTTTTTACGTATCAATGGTCAAACACTAATATTGGAGACAGTGAAATATTGATTGTAAATTTAATTAAGTGACAGAGAATATAACTTTACATTAAAGAAGTCACTTGTTTCACAAAACTTTTATTTTAGTGCTTCACCATATTCTAATAACCGAATGTTTGCAACATCTTTTCTTGTTAGTATTGTGATGTTTTTAACACTTTTTTTCATGAGTTTTTCATTTAAAGTACATAATTACCCTTATTTTTTACTTTTACATATTCACTTCCATAATTTTTCATTCTTTCTCTCGTACTTTTTTCATTTCTTCTACACTATTTATATCACATTTCATCCTTAAACTCTGTGCAAAAGGCTAACGTCCCGAACATTATAAACATGAAAGTAACTCTATGTTTTAGAAAATTTAGGAAAAAAAATGTTTTCTATTTTCTAAGAGGAGATTTGGTTAGGACAATAAAATTTCAGTCACTAAACAACCTTAATACTTGTTCACTGAGTGAGTGTGGTCAATTGGCATTAGGAGTGAGTTGTTTGGGCAATTGTTGGAAAAAGTTACAAAATGTATCCTCAACCAAAAAGGCTTATCCATTTTTTAGGTTTTGTTTTTTCATCTTTAAGCCTGTTTTGGAGCCCGTTTGGTAGCACCAAAATCGGCTGTTTTGGCTGATTCTGCTGAAATTTATGATATTCTGGCTGGAGTGGCTGTTTTGGCTGATTCTGCTGATTTAAGAAAAAAATAAATTAAAAAATATATTTTATTAATAAATTAAAGAAAAAATTATATGTAAAAATAGCTAAAATGGTCCTCTACAGTAACTTCAGCCAATACAGCCAGAAAAGTAACTCCAACCTTACTTTTTCGGCTTATTACACAATTCAGCGCGCGAAAGTAAAAGTTACGTGTTTGGTGAAAAAGCTGGCTGATAAGCCTGATAAGCCGAAAAAGAGTTCTCCAAACGGGCTCTTGGACTACTTTGTTTTCTATGGATATGGAAGTAATTAAACTAATGGGAGCAAACGAACAACTCTCTTATCTTTTCCAAAAGTGACCCGACCATTTCACATGTCTCCAAGACTTTTCTCACCGTTTGCCTCTTACCTCGCGTTTGGAATATCCGTAGTAAAAGATTCCCATGATTTAATCAAGGAAACAAAAACAAGCAAAGAGATGATTTTACTTAGGGATGTTTTTACTTGGACCCAAATTTACTGGTCCGGTCTGATAACGTCTCGTTCCTTTATATTTTATAAACGTCCAAGTCTGGTCTGGTATGGTTTGATCAGGTCTGATCTAGTCTAGTCTAGTCTGATATGATCTGGTCTGGGACTAAAAACTTTCCAAGTAAAAACATCCTTGAACTTATTTCAGTCTCATATTAGACCAGATCAAGTTAGACCAGATCGGACATCGACAGTTGTAAAATACACAAAGATCAGGTATTTATTAGATCAAACCAAACCAAACCAAATCAAATTTCAATTCGGGTAAACACATCGTAATACTAAAAGGGATAATGAATTTAATAAGAAGTAAAATGTTTCCAGCTAATATCAATTTTAGATATTTATTCAAATGTATTTTACTCCCTCCGTCCCGAAAAGAAGTTCACAGTCACTATTCATTGGTCAACTTGAACCACTCCTAATCTTTTACTTTATATATCAAATTTTTATCAAATTTAAATTTTCTTGATCAGACTTTTGTAGCGAGTTTAATGTAGTTTCTGAATATGTAAACTTTATTTACTAAAAATAATCCGAGTGTGAACAGGGATCGAATTGCTTTATCGTCAGTCAAGCATCATAAACCGTACGGGAACTTCATTGCGGGACGGAGGGAGTAATTTTTTTTCCTTGCTTTGAGTAAACTAATTTATATTTGGCAGAAAAAGATTACATATGCATAACTATGATCAACAGCTTGTGGATATATATAAAATCGTTGTCTCACAGAGAACCATGATGTTTGACAGGCAAATTGAAGGACCAGAAGACTACGGACCTATTTATTTGGATTAAATTTTGAGAAATTAACTCATTATCATAATAAAAATAGGGTGTCCTGTTTTTTCCTAAAATTTTTAAATACTTTATATGATCTACGTAGTACGTAGTAATATTTAGAAAAAGTAATTATAATAACTTAAAATGTTGTCACAACGCGGTTTAGCCTCAGGGTTTCGTATTAGGGTTTAGTGTTGACTAATTTCTCTTAGGGTATGTCTGGGAATTGGGTTCTAGAGGTAAGGAAAATGTTCACAAGGGTTTATGATCCTTCTGTTTATGTTGGGACTTTAAAAATAGGGAGGAGTTGGTTTTGGACCGCTTTTATAACTATCCAAAACCCTTCAAATGCACAATTTTCAAATTTCCCAAATTGTGAGGTTTTGAAGAATAACTAATTAAATGACAATTTCAGCTCAATTTTAAATAAATATAAATTCAACTGCTTGAATTCATCATATATGTAAAATGATTGTAATTACAACTCATCCATAACTTCTATCTTTTCAGATTTGTTACTCCAAAAAAAGAAGAAAAGTTTCATCTTCTTTCTCTCGCCTTCCATTCCAATGATTAACATTCAAAATCTCCTCCTCAATTATCCTTCAAACTCCCAACCATACAATGAAAGGTTTTCGCACGTTCCCCTCCCTTTCCCTTCCAATAACATGTCCTCAACAAAATATTGCTAGATAAACATGAGTCCAATAAGAAACTTGCCAACAAAATTGATAAACACTAATAAGAGCTCGTATGATACCCCAATACCCCTATTTTTCGGTTTATCACTCTTATCAGTGAACATTTTTACTAAAAACATTTCACATATCGATTTGTGTAATAATCAAAATAAGTACAATTTAAGTTCTTTTTCTAGCTGAAACGAAAGAAGTTACTACAGAATATCATTTTAGCTATTTCTCATATATATTTTTATTTATTTTGTTAATATATATTTTAAATGCTCCGTATAATTTATTCATAATTCAGCATTATTAATCAATTTAATTACTTTAGTCAAAAATTCATAAATTTGAAGGGATTCCGTCTCAATTTTGAGTATTATCATAAATAAATTAAAAATTGGCAATAAAGTTACTAAAAGGAGGGCCATCATGATACAATTTTGAGTATTATCATAAATAAATTAAAAATTGGCAATAAAGTTACTAAAAGGAGGGCCATCCTTGATCATGGAGACATGGAGTCATCTCAAAAGAAGATGGAGATAGGATCAGTGGACCACCATCCTCGACCTCGACTCTCCCCCGGGTCCTTCCATGGGCTGGGACTGGACGCAGAGAAGCTGTTGGCATTCCGGGAGGGACACCCACTCATAAATCATCCATTCATTCACACCTTCCCACTGCTCTATACCCCACCACCCACCCCCACGCCCCTGTCTCGCTGCACTCCAAAGTCTATCCTGTTTGACGCCACTGCTCCACACAGTCCAACATTCAACAACACATAAAAGAAAAAGTTGCTCAAACCCCGGAATTTAATACTATTATTCTGTCTTTCTTTTCTCTTCTCTGTGTAATAGATTCAATGAATCATTGAATATGCACGCATCCTGTGACACAGAACTTTGAACTTCTCTTCTCCGATCTCTCCCCACCCTTCTTTCTCCATAATCCTTTTTCTTTTCTGAGCCTTCTCTCTTCCTAGCTGGGTGTTGTGAAATTTGGGAATGATTGATTGTTCCAAGCCCACAACAGAGACTATTGCAGTTCGTTTCTATATTTAAGGTAAAATTTGGGTTTCTTGAAATTTCCATTTTTGCCTGGTTTCAATTATTGGGTTGTTTTTCACTGGCTGGCTTTCTATGGAAATCATTGAGCTTTAGGGTTTGTGATGAGCTCATTTATTTCTTTTGGATTTGATTTGATGGATCTCGTCTCCCTATCTCTTGCTTCGATCTTATGATTTGGTGATTTGATAGCTCCAAATTTTACTGTTTTCTTTTTTCTCTCTACTTTCATCTTCGTGGTAGATTGTCTTAGCTGTTTTTTAATATTCTTCTTTTTGGTTTATTAAATTGCAGCGCGAGATACTATTCTCTACCTTTTTACACTCGACCCAGAACTTTGCCCTTGACAAAGAACTACCATCATCTTTCTGGCCAAAATGTGATCAGACACTTTTTCATTGAAATCAGAATATTATTGCATTTCATCATGAAGTACAGTTGAAGATATTGTAGCACTGCAACTGAAGTTGAGAGGCTGCTCCGTGATATTCATCATACTCCAGGTAATGATTGGAAGTGATGAATATGTGATCTTTTATTTTTAATTCAAAAATATATAAAAAGACCAACTTTTTTGTGGTTCGTTGGTGGTTGGATGTATTGGGGGTAATTAATTAAAGGGAGTTTAAGATGGTATACACTTCATTTACTAAATTATAAACCTGAGTGTAATGATTATTTCTAGTCCCAGTTTGATTAAATGGATCTGATTCTCTTTTTTTGGCATAGCAGGAGCATTTGTATCTGATTCTCTAATTGAAAAATATACCACAATAGAAAAAGGAAAAAGTTCAAGTTGTAGGTCTTATGATGGCACATATTGCAGCAAATCATTTTAATGGAGGGGCTCATCAAGGTTGGTTTAGCTTTCTTCACTGAATCTTCACACATGCTGATTGGTGCTTGATTATGAAATTGGTGCTTGTTTTCCCTTTGGGTTTTGTGTCTGATCATGTTCATTTGGTGTATTTTCATCACTCGTCACTGATTTTTTTCCCTGTTTAAAGTTTAATAATCCATCATGTGAATGTTGTTAACATGGATTTCGTCCATTTAAATTCTTGAGGCCTATTTTGTTGCACCTCCCTTTCTCCCCATCAACTAATACCAGATGAGTTTCTGCTACAGGGTCTTCAAGTGATGCATTGTACAAGGAGCTATGGCATGCCTGTGCAGGACCACTTGTGACAGTTCCTCGTGAAGGGGAGAGAGTATATTATTTTCCACAAGGTCATATGGAACAGGTCACCCCTCTTGGTTACACTGTCACATAATGTTCTTTACTCTGCTACTTGTTTTTTATGTAGAAGGAAAGTTTGTCTGATTAATTACAATTTTAGCAGTTTTTAGAAATTTCAACTGTTTTTGAAAATTTAACCATTTTTGGAAGAACACACTATTTTCATAACTGTTTGGATAAGATGAAACTTTGTAGCTTATGATTATTTTTCAAAAAGCTTAATTTCTTTCAGCTAAATCTCTTTCAGTTGTTTTCATATGGTTTTACCTCGTAATAAGCTGATTTTTTTGTTGCTTCCAAGCGAAATTAATCATTTTTGGATCACTTCTATGTAATCTTTTCTCAAATAAAAAATGAATGTCATTGATTATTGAAACAGTCCAATTTTTCAGGTGCCCCAAGCACACTTGGTGACTGCTGAATTAATTCTCTCTCTTTTATTTCACCTTACAGCTCGAAGCATCTACCCACCAGGGAATAGACCAGCAGCTTCCTTCATTCAATTTACCGGATAAAATTCTGTGCAGAGTGATGAATGTTGCTCTCCAGGTAAGTTTACTTCACTTCATTTGGTGGTATATAGCCTTCTATTTTAAATTAAATTCAGCACCTCTCTACTTGTGTTGTAGGCTGAACCTGAAACGGATGAGGTGTATGCTCAAATAACTCTGATTCCTGAAACAGATGTGAGTTTTAATTCCCTTTAATTTTTTTCTTTATATATTATTTAGATGAGAAGTGTCTAAATATTATGTTTCCTATTATTCTTTTTGGGGTAACAGCAAAGTGAGGTCACAAGTCCCGACCCTCCTCTCCCTGAAAGTCCGCGATGTGAAATCCATTCATTTTGCAAAACACTCACTGCATCTGACACAAGCACCCATGGAGGATTCTCTGTTCTTAGGCGACATGCGGATGAATGTTTGCCCCCATTGGTATTCATTTTATTATTATTATTATTATTATTATTATTATTATTATTACTACTACTACTACTTTTATTATTATCATCAGCATTATTATTATATTTGCATTTACCTTAAGCGCTTCACTCAAGCTTTCATCTCTTAGTTAATTTGTTTTCATATTTTATGGATTGCAGGACATGTCTCAACAGCCGCCGTGGCAGGAACTGGTTTCTACTGATCTGCATGGCAATCAGTGGCATTTTCGTCACATCTTCCGCGGTAACTTTACTTTCAAATAATATTTTTACTGTACAATGAGGGAAGTAGGCATAATAGTCCAAAAGATGTTCTGAAAGATATCCCCTATTGTCAGGTCAACCTAGGCGTCACTTACTCACAACTGGGTGGAGTGTTTTCGTTAGTGCAAAGAAATTAGTAGCTGGAGATGCCTTCATATTCCTCAGGCAAGTTCAATGATATCTTCTATTTTGAATTATTAGAAATTATCAAGTATATAGCCTTGGTGAGTATTCTCTTAAAATCCATAGGATTTTTTTGCTAAGTGCAGGGGCGAAAATGGGGAACTTAGAGTTGGGGTACGGAGGCTAATGAGGCAACTAAACAATGCGCCGTCTTCTGTTATATCAAGTCACAGCATGCATCTGGGAGTTCTTGCTACTGCTTCACATGCCATCTCAACAGGGACTTTTTTCTCTGTTTTTTACAAGCCAAGGTTGTGCTAAATCTTGTGTGTACATTTTGCTACTTCCTTACAGTTAGAAGTAATTCCCTCTGTTTTTTATTTGGCATTAACAATTGAATGTGTGATGCATCCCAGGACAAGTCCGTCCGAGTTTATTGTGAGTGTGAACAAATATCTTGAAGCGCAAAATCACAAGTTTTCTGTTGGAATGAGGTTTAAGATGGTGTTCGAGGGCGAGGAAGTTCTGGAAAGAAGGTAATTTCAGAACCCAATTGTTTTAGGTCTATGCAGATTTGACTTTGCTGAAGTTTTGCCTAGATTAGCTTAAATGAATGTACCGGGGTTATGGCATTCTTATACAGGTTCAGTGGGACCATAATTGGCGTCGGAGATGATACATCATGTAGATGGGCTAATTCGAAATGGAGAGCTTTGAAGGTGACTATATCTTCCCTAATGTTTCTTCAGTTATCTCATACTTCGTATTTTATAGTTTTTATTTTTTCTGTTTCATGTGAAGCTGAATTTATGAATGCATCCAATTCAAGTTTTCTTTTTTCATCTGCAATTCTTGCCATGTCTGTGTTCTCTGCTTTCTTTTGAGTGTGTATTATGATGAGTGGATAATGTGGATTTTTGTATTTTTTGTATTGATGGAAGGCATTCCATAAAATTGTCAATTTTCTGATTCTGCCGTTTTGACTTTTTTCTTAAAGGCACATTTCAATCGGTTTACTAGGGGCTGTTTAGGATATCAAATTATTTTCATTTTTTGGTACAATTGGATATCCATTTAAACCTTTTTTCGTTTCAGGTTCAATGGGATGAGCCATCATCAATTTTTCGTCCTGAAAGGATATCCCCATGGGAGATTGAACCCCTTGTTGCAACATTACCACCACACAATCCCCAACCTCCTCCAAGGAACAAACGGTCACGCCTAGCAATTTCAGCTTCACCCGCACAGGAATTTCCTGCACAAGGCTCTGACAATCTATTCCCAAGTACATTTTCTCTCTCTCTTAGTGCATGTTTGGATGAAGGGGAGGTTTTGGAGGGAGTACTTTATATCCTATTATGTACCTAATATTTTATGAAATCGATAGTAACATAATACATGATTGTATATGATTTAAATAACCTTTTGTTCGTTTTAAGAAGCATTGACTAAGGGCTTCCTGCAAACCCCTACAAAAGCCTCCATCCGCAGAGACCCTCTGTAGTTTGTTTATAAATATTTGTGATAACCCCAAACCCAATTCCTGCCAATGAATAGGTACATGGAACACAATTGCTGATTCTCCTTTGCCATTCTCACGCTGTGATCCACCATCAAATGTGATGGATATTTATCCGTCAGTCAAACTCTCTCTTGATTCAAATGCTAACAATCCAGCAGGTTACAACAAGAATTGGTTTTTTTGCTTATGTTTATTTCTCAAGTCCTTGTGCCGGTCTAACTAAAACTAAAACAGACTTAACCGCACCAGCTACTGAAAAGAGACGGGGTGGCTGCAAATTGTTTGGGTTTGAGTTGCTGGACCACTCAACCGTTGAAGACACGTCACCTGTGGCTGCACTACCTCAAGCTATGGTGGAGACTCATCCAAATCCGCCTTTTGATACTGAATCTGACCAGAACTCTGAACATGAGAGATCATCGCTGAGATCAACCTACGAATCCCAGACCAAGCAAATTAGGAGCTGCACTAAGGTACCCATATCCATGATCATGTATAAGCCAACAATGTTCTTACTTTTTATTAATATCATTATTACTTAACATAAACTATATGTACAATCCAATCCACTCATGCATGTAATAAAAATAAGAAATCATAGTTAATATGATAAAACATGGGTCATTTGCACAAACAAGAGTATCATTATTTTGTTCCAAAATTAGGACTGATTCTGTCCTCAAGGGAATAAAAGTAGTTGACAATTTCTTCATGGAGTGGGATGAGTCTTCTTTTTAGGGAAAAAACATCGGTGGCTCTATTTCAAGAATGTAGTCCTGGTTTCGCTAATTTTGCTCGGTTGCTCTAAAATACCCAAGAGGTAACTGATAAAAAGTTACTTATATTTATGTGGGTCGGTGTAGGTTCACATGCAAGGGAAGGCAGTTGGGAGAGCAGTAGATGTGGCGGGATTCGATGGGTATGAAGATTTGCTGAAGAAATTGGAAGACATGTTTGAGATTAAAGGTGAACTGTGTGGATTAGTAAAGAAATGGCAGGTTGTGTACACAGATGATGAAGATGACATGATGATGGTGGGAGATGATCCATGGCAGTTGAGTCCTCTCACTCTGTCGTGCTTGTTCTCTTTTTTATTGTTGTTACGCGAGTATAATATTTACGCATTTACTATGTTTTGGTATGTTCATGAAATATGTACGCAGCGAGTTCTGCCTCATGGTCAGAAAAATCTTCATCTACACAACTGAAGAAGCCAAGATGCTTTCACCAAAGATAAAGCTTCCCCATGCTAAGGAAGTTAAATTAGAAAATCAAATTTCAGACCCTCCGAGTTGCACCGAGGAAGAACATGAGACGGTCAACCCTTAACGTGAGTGCTTAATCGAGCGGATGGATGTCATTCCCTCAAGGAAACAGTTGAGAGGACAATGTAAGATAAGGACTCCAACACTGGTAGTAGTAGTTTTAGCAGTGGTAGTGTCTTTGTTTTTATATAGTTTTGCATGTCTGCCTTCACCTCTATTGTGTAGAGCTGGATAGGTGGGTAGTTCTTATCTTTATTTATTTTTTCAAATTTGGAGGTGGTGGGGGAGGGGGGGTAAGTTTTTCTGCATATTTCCAGTGTAATAAGGCTTTTACTCGGGATCACTGTGTATGTAAGTATGATCTTGCAAACAAACTGTCTGTTTAGCCTCTTAATATAAAGGAACTTTTCTTGCTTTTCTTTTGACTTATCATTTCTTTGCTGTCCTTTTGTGGACACTTGCTTGTGCGTTGCCATCTTTTCCCATCATTTTACGGATTTGTTTGGCGTCACATTCAGATGCATCTGTTCAGTTTTTCTTCTTATAGCCTTTTTGCATGTGCTCTCTCATGTTCACACTGCCCACTATGATTTCTAACATTAAAAAGTGAAAGATGGTGGGAGAAATAATAGTAAAAGGTGGTTTGCTTGGGTTGTCCTACATCCGTCAACAAAGATGCACTCATTTTTTAGTTGGATTAATCGACTTTATGTACAGTTTTCATTTTTGCCTTGTATGAAAACTAAAGTTAATGACTTTTTTGTATGAGGACTGAGGAGCATTAAAATTTGACGTTTCTGATTATTAAGAGCTCGTTTGCTAACATTTTTTTGGAAAATTTACTTATATATGATTAAAACATTCTTGAATTCCTAATATATGAGTAACAAATTTAAATGTCTTTGTATGAGAAATAGTTAAATTGAAGGAAGAAAAAATAGCATCAGAAATTCAGAATACGTATTATACAAGACACCATTAATTCGCGAATAAAAAACTTGTTAGTCATATTTAAGGAATCATCACCTCTTTTAGCCGTATAGCTAGCAGTTTTCTCTTTTAGCCATTCTTTTTCAGTCAAATATTAAATTTTTTATTTTGTGCGTTCAGTTATGTAATGATCGAAATAAGTAAGATTGCGTATACTGAAGATGATTATTTTAGCATTTTCTATATGATGTTTTCGATCACTTATTTGATGAAATGTATTTTAAATATTTCAGCGGGTTCAGCCGTATTAATTCAATCGATTTTAGTTTTGCCAAACAAGCTCTAAAAGTAGGGTTTTTTACAAGAATATTACTAAAATAAAACTTATTTACATAAATATGATCACAACACTACAACATAGTGTTGTGGCAACTGAAGTTCAAAACTTGAACATGAATTACTATGATTTCATTACTACTCTAGTTTTGAATCATATTTTTGTAAACTATCTTTATTTTGGTCATATTTATGTAATTATTTCCTAAAAGTAACTCTGAAATGAAGCTACAAATTGTAAGCGAGTAAAAGGTAAATTAAAGAATAACATCCAGTTTTGATCTTGCGAGTTGCGAGTATCGCACTAATTTCATAACGAGTTCATGTTTTTTTACTTTATCACTTTGGGTACATTGTTATTACTTTTCGCCCATATATAGTCCTTATGTCGATATTTCTGATGCTTAAAAATCACTTGAAAAGTGTTGAAAAAATGGACGAAAGGATCACAAATGATCAAGAAAAATTGTTAACTAATTACCTTAAGTAAACAAAATGAAAGACAAAAATTAAATGACATAAAAGTCATAGGACTAAAATAGAATTAATTTCAAATTAAAATGTGTGTGAATTGTGATGTGAAGAACTACGACTGTGAGACTTTATTTTTTGACCAGTACGACTGTGAGACTATTAGTTTAATTCTTGTTGAGGTTTATTCCTTCAACCCTTGAACCCAACACGTAAGCCCAAAGATTTCGAGTGGAGTGAGTGTATGAATATCTAGCCCAACAACTATCCGATGGATCAGGAATCAAGAGTAATAGCAGGCAATGTAAATAGGTATTATTAACTTCGTAATAACTCCCCTAAGTACAATCTACTTGCTAAAGAAGGCACGTCGGCCGTTCCTCTTACAAGGCAGCTAGAGATGCTACAAGTAAGAATGCTGAAGCTAGTATGCTAAGAATAGAAAGTTGCCAACCCCTTACAATGAAATAAATGCTTCTATTTATACCCACCAATGGGCAGGTAGCTATGCTGACGTGGAAGCCTGTGGACCGCTTGTGTCCCAACCACCAAATCTTCAGCATTTAATGCACTTCCCGCCAGAATCTAGGTTTCCCGCCTGATTAGTGGGGACGTTCGTCCGCCCGGGAAGTGAGGTGGATTGCTCCAAGTGACCCTCCGGAGATACCGGCTGTTCGTCTCCTGGCCTTGTAGATATTCACCATGTGGACTGGGTCCCCTCTGATGACTACAGGCTTGCCCCGGAGACGTTCGTCGCCATCCCTGGTGGCCCGTGGTCCTGCTCCTTGTCCCTGCACAGACGTTCGTTGGAGGAACCTGCTGGGCCTGAGCCCCCTACGCCAGACGTTCGTCCATCCCCAAGGGATATGGGCCTATGAGCTGGCCTAGTGTTCTAACTAGACGTTCGTCTGGCCAAATGGGTTAGTGGGCCGGACCTCGGCTTGGGCCCTTAACCCAACACAAGTCCCCCACTTCTGATGTTCTGGGCTCGCGCAGGACATAAGGAAGTAGGAATCCCTTCGAGGTAGACGGCCGTGTCTTGATACTTGTGTTTTCTGCACCCGTTGGAAGCGTACGCTCGTGGTCATGGTGCTTGACAGCTGTCGACGGTTCAGGGAACGAGGTGACGGCTGATGTTGCGGCGGTGCATTTTCCCGAGGAAGTGTCATCATTACGCTTTCGCCCACGCACAGCGCGTGAGCCGGAGTACGCTCCTCGCCACGTGTCAACCCCTCGTTGGTTCCCCCATCGGCATTTCTCCTATAAATGCCGGGTTTTCCCTCTGGATTAGGGTTCCCATTTCCTGCTCTCTTGCTTTCGAATTTCTGCAGCTCTTCGAGTCTTCTCCCCCGCTTCCGAGTTCGGCTAAAACCCCTTGCAAGGTAATTTCCCCCCTCTGCCTCTTTTCTTGTTCTGATTCTTAGCCGAAATGACTTCGATGGAGATTTCGTCAAGTTCTGATTCCGGTTCGTCGGGTTCCTCCTCGGGCTCCTCTTCGGACAATGTGAGTGCGCGCTCTCCCGGGAAGGCCAGTATTTCCGGGACTTCTGGTTCGGCCACGATGGTGGGGACCATCCGGGCTGATGGCGAGCCGGATGATGCTTCCCAAGGTAGTGGGAGCGACGCCGGGCATGGGGATGCGGCCGGGGCAATGGATGTTATTAACGCAGTCCCCCTGAACGAGCGTCCCGCTGACTACGATTCTGGAGAGGAGGCCGAATCCGGTTCCGATATGGAGGTGTATGATCTGGGCATCCCTATGGATACGGAGCGCCACATTTGCCCGATCAGAAGCGCCCTCGACCACGACCAGGTCCTCTCCCGCGTGGCCCTCAACAAAATCCGTACTTTCTTCCCCCCGCCGCTCGTCTGGAGCGTGAGAGGCGCTGAACATGTGATGAGGAGACGTCCGGGGATGATTGTGCTCCACTTGGATTCCGTCGAAGCCGGGCTGCGGTTCCCGCTCCATCCGTTCTATGTGGAATTCTTCCACTGCTTCCAGGTGGCCCCGGCGCAGTTCATGCCAAATTCTTATAGGTTCATATCTGCCTTTCTGGTGCGCTGCAAACTAGCGGGAGCCACTGCTACCCTGGAGCTTTTCCACTACTTCTACCGCATCACTCCCCAGAACTCCGATGGTTATCTGAGCGTGGCCGCACGTCCAGGGAGGAAGCTGTTCAAGAACTACCCTTCGTCTATCCACGACTGGAAGAACCGCTTTTTCTTCCTCAGATACGACGGGCCTCCTCTCCCCATTCGGTGGAATGGCTATCCCCCAAAGATCGAGTCACCGGAGCCAACCGACGATCTACTTTGGGATGTGGAGAAGGTGTTGGAGGGCGGCGTCCGTTCAATAGCCGAATATCTGACCTTCGAGGCACTCTCCGGGGCAGGCATAGGTACCGCCCGTGTCCCTGGACTCTTCCTACCCTCCGACGCTCGTCTCGGGGCACCGGGCGGTCCTGTCCTTCGAGGTGAGTGTCCTACTGTATTCTCCGCTCGTCTTCTAATCCTTTGTTGTTTCTTGCAGGTTCACCACCAGATAGAGACCAGATGAATCATGCCGAGTGCCTGAAGACGAGGAAGGCCAAGGCGGCCGCTGCTAAAGCCGCACTGGCGAAAGCCAAAAACGCCCCCGCCTCGGAGTCCAACTCCTCGGCCTCTGATGCTGCCCGGCGAACTGCTGAGGGTGAACAGCACCTGATCGCCACTATGCTGGCTCAGGGTTCTGGGGCCCCTGCCCTCGAAGCTGCCCTCCCACCGCCGGCCGTCCCCACGAAGGCGGCTCCTCAGAAGGGGGCGGAGAAAGCCCCTGAGAAGAAGCAGAAAAGGGGCCGTGAGGCAGCCTCCGCCGGGCCCCTGCTCAAAGACGCCGGCTCTCTGCCATTAAGCCGCCCGGCGGAAGACCTCTGGAGGGAGATGGCCCTCAAGGCCGGTCTTGAGTTGCCCCGCCGTTCGTCGTCTGAGGCGACCAGTGCTGCCCTGGCCGCCGCTCTTCAGGTATCCATTCTTTACCAGATCTGAGCACATCTTTCCCTTGTCGTTCATCCTCTAACCATTTTTTCCTTCTGTCATCCAGTCTGGGCTCCTAGTCCTTCAAGCTGAAGCTGCGAGGGAGGCTGACCTGAGGGAGGTCAAGGCCAAGGCTGATGCGGCCGTTGCCACGGCCCGGGAGGCCGCTCGTCGAGCTGAAGCGGAGGTTGCGGCCAAGGGGGAGGAGATTGCCGCTCTGCGAGCAGAATCCCGCCAGCAGCTGGCCGGCCTTGAGAAAGCTGGCTTCAAGCTTGTCCCGGTGCACCCTGTCGCAAAGGATGCCAGTCCGGAGTGGCTGGTTGATACCTCCGGCTATCGGAACACTGGGGAGTTCATGGACTCTGCCAAAGACTACTGCGCCGGGGTCTTCGCCGACTTGTTCGCCGCAGCTTTGGAGAAGATACCGCCCCGCCAGCGTCTGGCCCGCGGCGTCCGGCTCCTTGAGGGCTCTCCTCTGTCCCGCAAGTTCCTGTACGAGGTCGGCGACAGCACCTTCTCTGCCGGCTATAATGAAGGGGTTAAGGCCACCCTTCCCATCTTTTCGAGGTTGCAGGGGGCCGACTTCGAGCTGGCTGCGCATACAGATGACGATCTGCTGCACCAGGCTCTAGGGAAGCTGGCGAGAGATCAGCGCAGGGAGGAGGCCAAGGCCAGAGGGGAGATCCCCGAACCCCCGACCCCGGAGCCCGAAGCTGAAGAGGAGGAGCAGGTTCCGGGAGGCAGCCGGCCTGAGTCCCCTCGTATGGTG